CGCGCTTGGCGACGAGCGTCACCCTCCTGGTGACGGTCGTCACTCGTAGAGGATGAACTCGCGTCGGGTTGTAGCAATTTGGGTGACAAGCGACGCCCCTCCTGGGTGACGATTGCCACCTGTTGTTTCTCACCAGAAATTTCATCATCTTCAAACTCTTCAAGTCCAACGAATTTCTCTGAGCTCAAATCCTTTTGTAACATTGGTTGCAAGTTCTTTCCATTCCTCAATATGATGGCATTCACATGGTGTTTGGGATTAGCATATGTCCTTCCTGGAAGGAATCACTCTTGCCTCTGAACAGCTCATGCAGTTTGAGCAACTTAAGCATCTAACTTCTTCATATTAGAGTTCAAACTCTCAATTTTTCCATTCAAGTCCTGATACAGCGAATCCATCTTGCCATTGAAGTCCACTGTCAGCTTCTGCTGTCCCTCTAGGAGTTGTTCTAACATAGCTTCCACCTTGTTGTCTTGTGGAGTTGCAGCTTGGTAGGAAGAAGAACCATAATTCATGTTAAAGTTGTTGTTGTTCAAGTAAGGTTTCTGGAACTCTGTCTTCTGGAACTGGGACTTGGGTGTGTAACCAGGCGAGCTCTGATTCTCTATGAAGGTACTCTTCTGATTATTGTCGTAGTAGCCTCTGTTCCATTGCTGATTCTCATACCTTTGACCTTGAAATCCTTCAGCATTGATGAAATTCACATCTTCCTGCTCAATCTCCTCTGGATTTTCGAAAGTTTCTACCTCTGCAGCAAAGTGAACTGACTTCTTCCCACCAAAAGGTTGTGCATACTGTCCAGCTTAGCCTTAACTTCAGCAATCTGATTCCCATCATTCAAACCAGCTTGTTTTATCCTTTGAAAATCTGCATTTTTGGTGCTGTTACTGCATGCCAAGTTCTCAATCAGTGTTATTGGAGCTTCTGGAAGGTTGGTGTTGAAGTTCCCACTGCTAGCAGCATCCAGCACCATCTGATACTTCCAGTCAATACCTCTGAAGAAAATCCCAAGCAGCTGCACCTGACTAAAATCATGATGAGGACAGTCCCTTTGATAAGACTTGAACCTCAGCCAAGAAGCTTTAAAAGCTTCAGTAAGACCTTGGGAGAATGATGCAATTTTCGTCCTTAGGTCCTCTGATCTAGCATCATCATAGAAATTGTTCAGAAAAGCATTATTGGTGTCCTCCCAAGTGGTCAGCGAACCAGGCTCCAGTTGCTTCAGCCAATAAGCAGCATCTCCTCCAAGTGAATAAGGGAACAGCTTGCAGAACAGAAAGTCATAGCTAACTCCATTAGCTTTGACACTTGAAGCTAAATCCTCAAACCTCTCAATATGATCCATAGGATGCTCATGAGGTAAGCCATGGAAAGGATGTTGTCCCACCAGCTGATAATAAGCAGGCTTGAGCTCAAAATCATTTCTCTGGAAAGCAGGAGGGCGGATTGCAGCTCTGTTGGCATAGAACTGGTCAGGTCTGTTGTAATCTCCTATATTCCTTTGAAAAAAACGCCCAGCAGCGTGTTTAGCAGCAGTTGGAGCTCCAGCGTCTTGTGCCACTTGTTGAACCGCCTGTCCAACTATGACATTCCCATCTTGATCCAGTTTCTACCCTTCTTCATTCCTCATGTTTCCCTCTCTGTCAACCAAGTGACCTTCTGCATCTTCAACCAAGATCAGTGGAGCCACCATTGTAGACTGTTTCTTAGTTTTCCTGATGGTCCTCTCCAACTTAGCGAGTTCGTCGATGCTCAAAGTCACAAGCTTCTTCTCTTTGTTGCTTCTGGTACTGCGATTATGCATACACCTGAAACCAGCACAAAGAAAAGTAGCAGAAAGTTAGTAAACAAATTAAAACTTAGACAAAATCCTAATACTAAAATCGATAGGCAGCTATTACTCCCCGGCAACGGCGCCAAAAACTTGATAGGGCTCAGGTTTTACCCAAATAATTTACTACTGCAAGTGCACAGCAAAGCAGTTGTAGTATAAGGGGTTATCGAATCCCAAGGGAGTAAGTAAACTACACTAACAATTATAGATTCGGACTAATCTAAGCAGTAGATAATAAATGTAATGTGAAATAGCTAAAACAATGAAAGCAAGCGAAATTTGATTGATTGAAGCTCAGAAAACTAAAGGCGCTAAGTCAGGACAATTCACAGGTTGAATCCGAGAATGTAGAATGCATGAAATCAGGAATGATTAAGAACCGTCTTGAACACGAATCACAAATATATAACTAATAAATTCTCATTGCAGAAGTTAACTATGTTTAAATCACAGAGTTTCAAATCTCTTTGCAAACCCTAACAACCTAAACATGCAGTAATGATCAGGTTCAATTGTTCACAAAACTCCTAAGCCAAATCTCTTTGCACTAAGTCGTTTTGCTCATCTAATGCTAGATCAGGTTATCAATAATGCTCTCACATCTATTAAACAACCTAGGTTTCGAATTTCCAGATGATGTGTCTAAGAAAATCGGTTTTAAAGCAAGCACATATGAAGAACCAATAGATATTCCTAACAGTTAGCGATTTCTACAAACTCATCATCAACTTTTGAAAATCCCTAACTTAACTAGCAGATTACTCAGACATGATCATGGAATCACAAAGCATAGCTGAATAAAATTGCATTAAAGAGAAAGAGTAAAAGTTAAAGGGGTCGAAATCTTCTCAAAAGAGTACAGGATCTGTCTCCCTAAAAAGCTCTGAAAGAAATCTCTCCCTCAAGCTCTATGAATTCTAAAATCTAAGATATATGCCAACAATGGCTGAAAACCTAATATATACAAGCTAAAACACGAGCTGGAACACTTTTGTAAATACTAAAACTTTTGGAGCAAAAGTGCAAATAGTCCTCCATCTTTTAAAAACAAACCACGATCCTTTCCAGCTATGGGTGACGAGCGTCACCCTTGAGTGGTGACGAGCGTCACCCAAGCCAATATTCGCCTTCTGAGTTGCACACTTCGTGGTTTTATCTTGCAATGCTCCAAAAAGCTCCATAATCTCCAATTGTGCTCCAGATATGCTATAACCTGCAAAGACTCTACTAAGACTCTAAAAAGACCAAAAGACTCAATAAAATGACTTATACCATGGTTAAAAACCATAAAACCATGATATATCATACCACTTCTAAAAAGATACAGGTCGACCTTATATAATTGTTTATACATGTACCCGGTTGCATCTGGTAGTGCGTAATCGAGAAAGACATAAATTCACTTTATGTAATTGTTCATATTTGTACCTAGTTGCATCTAGTAGTGCGCATTTGAAAAATCTAAACTTTTTAATAGTTGTACCCTATCGCACCTAGTGGTGCAATTTCGAGAAAAATAAACACATAATTGTTCATATGTGCATGTAGTAGTGCGAATCAGAGAAAGACAAACACAAAAACGTTAATAGTTGTATCCAATTGAATCTGAAAGTGCAAATACGACAAAATGAAACTTAGGATTGTTCATACTTATACCTTTAACCTGGTAATACAAATTCTTCAAACTCAAACTCAAAAAGATTTATAGTTGTACATTATCTAACATGGTTGTACCAAACTGAGAATTACAAAACACATACACAAATCAAACTGCACTGCCACTTTGGCTTTGGAATTAATCAGCCAACCTTATGCCAGACACATACATGTTACTTGTCTTATGATGTAAAAGAGGCAAATTATTAGATTATACATAAATGTTATTAGCTTAATTCATGTGTGTATATGTATTTCTTGGGTTTGTACTACTAGACTAAACTAGATCTAACTATGAACAATTATGGGTTTGTGTATGTCGTTTTTGTTCTACCAATTTAAACTAGATCCAACTATAAACAACTCTGAGTTTATATTTGTCGATTTTGTACTACCAGGTTAAACTAAATAACAATTCTAGGTTTGTATTTGTCGGGTTTTGTTTGTATTTGTACTTGTATTCCATAATGATTGTATATTTATTTGTATTTAGCACAAAATTGGTACAACTGTATTCATATGGTTTAACTATGCTTCAATTTTATAAAAGTAGTAAAATTAAACAATTACAAAAAACCATAAACAAATAAACCAACTAAGAAGTCTAAACACAAATTCAACTATAAAGAAACAATTAATAGTATGGATAACATTGATTTATCAGTTTTAAAATATATATTAAGCACCTCTTACAATATAAAGAAGACTTATGTAATGCTACCCTCTTTTGATGCAAACACGGCAAACTATTAGATTATACATAAATGTTTCTATGAAAACATTTTAAATGACAGTTAAAAGAATAAAATCACCTGTACAACTACACTATACAAAGGTTCAACTAGAAATATCTTAAAATCGCAAAAGTACAACGATTAAGATTTTTATTCAACTATTAACTTAGGTAAAACTATGTAAATATTTTACAGCAAATTTTTTTAATATTTAAGTTTTTGCGGCAGAAATGTTTTTAATATTTAAATTATTTGAACTATTTAGTACTACTAAAAACTTAAGTACAACTATTCGATCAATTTTTTCAGATGTTTTTTTAATGATGTCACATGTTAAATAAGATATTTTTTTGTGTTACTTGTGTTAACACATATTTTGTTTTTTTCATTTTTCCCTGTTTTTTTTTCATATTTCTCAGTTGTTTGTAATAGAACTTGTTGTACCTAATAAACACATAGTTGTACATAAATACTATAGCTGTCCTAAGATACCTAAGTTTTACAAAAACATAAGATCAAAAACTAAAAAAAGACCACACCCTGAAAATTTTGTTGCGGCTTGAAGATTCTAGTAAACATGTTATGCTTCCATTCCCCTTCATACATACACCCATCCTTCCACAAATACTTCCTGGATCCGTTCGGTAGCCCGCCAGAGAAAGTTCCCATATAGAGATCTCTGTTTGGTAACAGTTTCAAGCAGGACAATGCTGTTTTATACGTACTTTTGTGCAACTTCTTCTCGAAGGTATAAAGAGAGGGGTGTATGTATCTTAACCTGACCTCCCGTAAATGCTGTAAGCCACAGCTATGGTTACAACAGCCCCAACTGTGGCAGCTCCCAAGAGAAGCTCTTCTTTCTCCATCGATGTGAACCAGTTTCGATTAACGGTTCCTTCTTTCTTGACCGGCTATGGAGTTTGGTCCTGGCAACATGATACCCTGTTTGCACCTTCGCAGCAACCTCCTACGAATCCCTTTTTCTCCACTTGTCCGCGTTCCACTATGCCGTTTCCGTTTGGGAATTTATGCTCAGCCCATTTCTCAGCTTCCTCACCGTCGAGTCTTAGCCTCATCTGGCCCCTGAAACGGAAAGTATATGGGTAAACTATACCGTTATTTGGAAATTGAAATATATCATTGAATGAACCTGAAAGATCCCTAGGCACATGTTTTTTTCAATAGAAATGATAAGTTTTGAGATAAACCGAATATGTGAGGGATTATAAGCTTCCTTGTTCAGCAAACAAACACCTCAGCCAAATTGATACAAGAGTTTTTATATTCTTGTGACTCACTTCCTCAAGCCCTATAAACATGTCATTGTAGCACTTAGGTGTCAATCGAATCAGGGATTTGAAACAGAGAGAATACATGATTTCCTATAAGCTAAGCAAATTAAGTAATGAGTTTATAGTGACCTAACCTCCTTATGATCAATCAAACAACCAAAAGAAAGCATTGAACCAAGATGCATAACATTAACTTAAAGATTTAATACTTAGGAAACAGAGCAATTTAAAGCAACATAAACAGAGCAAAACAGAGTGATAATCAAGCAAATTCAAATTAAGATAAAACAGGGTTCATAGATGGGGGGTTATTGATCCAAGACAATCTTAAGCTTCAAATGTGATATTCAAACAGTCAATCAAGTATAATCCTTTAGCATAGAACTCAGCATATAAATTAATCCAATATCTTGACAATTATTCCTTTGCTAACAACCTAATCAAGATCTAATTCCTATTAGTGATCAGGTAATCAACAACAGCATGAAGAAACAGTTATATCTAGCCAAATTGCTCCCTCGTCATCCATTCTCATAGCAAATCCGTTAAAAGGCTGGTTCAGCCATTTAATCAAACACTTTTGATGCAAGATAAACCATAATATCAGAACCTAACTGATCAGCAAGATTAAGCATTATGAGCACCTAATAATGAAGGATCTTACATGATCTATACCTAAACATCACATCATAAGCCTTGGATCACCTTAGATTTATCCCATCTACAAACCCAGAAATTGACTACTCAAAACACATAGAGATCATGGCGAATACTTGTAGAAGAATGTACGAAATCATGATCAAAAGCAATAGATGGATAATCAGTAACAGAAAATGCAAACTTTGATTAGAAACCCAAATTATGCTTACAAATCCTAAAATTCTGTAAAATAGCTCAAGAGCAAGAGAGAGAGAGAGAGAAGGGGAGAGAGAGAGAGAGAGAGAGAGAGAGAGAGAGAGAGAGAGAGAGAGAGAGAGAAAGAGAGAGAGAGAGAGAGAGAGAGAGAGAGGGAGAGAGAGCGAGATTAAAGCATAAAACATCAGATTAATTTAACAAAACAAAGATGTTTGACTAAAAGGATAAGGTTTGCTTTTTATTGTTAATGGATTAGGGCTGGTCAATGGTCCAATCTTGGATGTTGACCAAAGACTAAACAAGATAAAATCCAAAAGGAAGGGGGTCTTCATGTCTGCACCTGGGCGTAGAAGCCGGTGTGACTGGCTGGTGTAGATGCTGCGAAGTTCTGGTCGATTCGCTCAGAGGTGCGTGAGCCGGTGCAGGTGCCTGGTGTGGATCTTCCAAGATTTTGCTCGACTTACTCCGAGGGGTCCTAACCGGTGTGGTACCCCGGTGTGGGACCTTCAATCTTCTGGTTCTAGTGCTCCGAGGTGTGCAGGCCGGTGTGAGTGCCTATCTTTGCTTCTCTTCCGTTTTGCTCTCTTCCTTGCATCTACTTGAACTACACTTGATCCACAAGTCTCTAAAGCTGTACAATACCTGAAATACACTCCAAATGCAACAAAACATGCATTTTCTAATCATAATGCACACTAAGTCTACTATGAATGCAAATGAGACATTTTGAACTATAAAATTGATGATATGCCATGAAAAACTATGCTAGATGAGGTTTAAAATGATACAATTATGCAAGCTATCAACACTTCCACACTTGCATTTTGCTTGCCCTCAAGCAAAGAAGGACAACTAAAGGAGTTCAGTTTGAAAATGGGAGTTCAAAGCCAAAAATACCAAAGGAAGAAATGAGGTCAATGTCAATGTTAACAGTTCTAAGATGCATATGATTTTGTTCTACTCTAAAGAATCTAGCCACATTTATCACAAGCAGTTGCAAGTACTTAAGTTGTAGCATACGCAAACAATCACATCAATCAACCCTTTTAACATTCAGTTAAATGTAACCTTGTGAATCATGCTTATGCAAACCACGTGCTTTCATTTGGCTAAAGGCAAGATTATGAGACTAAAATGATCTTATCAAATTTGAACTGGCTCAATGAAAATGCAAGGGATCTCTCATGAAAATAGAATGAGCTTTGGTAAAATGCTAAGGGTAAATAAAAACTTATGCATACAACGGTAAACTTCCATCTACCCATGACCTACAAATGATCCTAAACTCCTATTCTTCTACCTAATAACACATCATAATCTACCATTTTCTTGAAGCATTTTTTCTTCTTTTATAACGTCATTCTTCTTTCTCCTTTGGATCTTCTTGGTGGTTTGCTTCTTAATTTGTATGGGCTCTTCTTTGCTTTGCTGGTGCTTCTCATCCTTTGGATGTGTTTTGGAATTTTTCTTTGCACCTTTCTTCTTTGTATCTGGCCTCTTTTTGATTTTCTTAACCAACTCTCCCAAGGTATAATGTAATGCACTCCTTATCCTTTGCTCTCTTTTCTTCTTTGCTTCTCTTGAATAACCAATATAAAACCCTACCCTTGAAACCCTATAATCCTAGCCTAATCTAGCTCAAAAATGAAGATCTAGTTCTACATGGAAGTCTTTCCAATATAGTTCTAAATCCCAACACTTTTTACTAAGCTCATCTATGGAAAAAGGCCTTTCAATCTCTCACAAATGATTCAATGGTTTGAAAGAAATTTATGGTTAAAGGTGGGGAATTCTACTTGGACTAACAAGAGTGGCAAAAGGAAGAAGAAAGCCCAAGTATGTATGATGATCCATGAAAAACACTTTTCGATGCACAAGACATGATAATTAAAAGATCAAAATTATGGTTCAAATTACTAAGGATTGAAATCATTTCATATGCTTCAACTAGGCAAGAGTGACAATGCAAAGAATTCCAAATGTGGTTCAACCTTCAGTTCAAACTAGATCACAAGCATCAAATAACTAATAACTAGGACATTGACCTTAAATTCGAACTTCAACATTTATGCAAGGCAAACATCATTACTCCATTACATGTTACCATTTGTTGTCTCTACACAGAAATTTGTTGAATGTGATTCTAGCAATTACATTGCAGTATAATAATACTTATAAATAATACAGACTTGCAACATTCATTAGGAAACAAATATTTTTGTATGTTAAAAAACATTACGGTTCCAACATAGACATATATGTAAGACTACAACAAGCTAGAAACAAGAAGCAGGAGAAACAGGCCTGGAAAGGTTTTGTATGATTTCTCCTTTTGCATTATGCTGATCAATCATTGCATGCTCGTCATCAGGAGTCACATAACCATACCTGCACAACAGAAAGATCGTTTAATGATGCATAAGATATTACAGTTCAATTTATCTTCTTAATTACACAAGTTACACTTGACATTCTTTACCATTGGCCAGATATATTTTCAGCTGAATCAGGGCTAAAGAAAATCAAATTTCCAACATACTTGTGGCCACCAATATGAGAACATGGCTTAACCAAAATTTGGTCTGAAAATTTGAGAACATTTCTTTACCTGTGGTTTCTCCACGTCTACCGGAGGTGTGGGAGTGACTCGCCTCATGGTTCCTTGAGAATTCAATTGTACCATTGGCGTGAGAGATAGTAACAGTAAATCGCTACGTCTCTCTTCCTCTGATTCAACTCCTTCTCCAACCCGTAGGTTCTCTCTTTTACACACCTCTCCTAGAACCTTCTTCTCGACGATGCTTCTGCTCAGTAAACCTTCAGTAGCTTCTGCTTTGCTCACCAACGGTTCATGCATCATGTATGTGTCAGATAAAGCTCTCGCTTCCCGCTTAATTTCTTCTCGGTCTCCGAAATAGCATTCGATTTCACACCTGGGTTTCTCTAATTTTATGATCGATAATATATAGATCCATCAGAACAACTGCAAACTCCGATGATTTTTTTTAAAATGTTTTTGACATTTTGAGCTGTAGACTCTAAAATTACGAAGGAAATCAAATAGAAATTTTCAGATTATGACTGTATACAGAACATTTTCTACTAAAATAACCAGAATCAAAGATAAATTTTTGATCCAAATCAAGATCATCTCATTTTCGGATTAATGGAAGTAAAAACAAAATTTGTTAGATAAAGAACCAACTATGAAAAAACAACAGAGAGAAAAAAGGAAAAAAAATGGCTGGATTCTAGTTGGGTTAGCAGGTCTGAATTAATATTTTGGCTGAATTAATAAGAGTTTAAAAGGTATTTCCTACATTTTTATTTAAAAAGAAAATCAAAAATAAATTATCAAATATGATAATGGTATATGTGATTAGTTTTCTTAAATGGTGACATTTGAGTCATTGATTCTTCAATAAAAGATTTTCAGCCATTCACCCACTGGAGAACATATCAATGGCTGGGATATCCCTCTCGCTTACAAAATAAGTTGGAATGCCCTTGTTATAACTGACCATTTCTTTTTGATTTATTTTTAATACCAAAACCTAGATAAAATCTTTTAGACCCTTAATGAATCTATGATATTACATATCAAACCATGATTAATTCGCATCACCCACCTAAACCTAGATAATTCGGGTTATGTCTCTTTTCGCTTAGGTGCAAAACCAACAAAACACACTCTATTTCATGTGGTCCCCTCCTCTGCCATGTTTTTTACTCTCTTTTTTTATCATCAGAAAAATCATATTTGACTTTTTGCGATCTCTTCTCAAGTGTTTTTCCAATTAATTCAGAATTCAACTATTTCTTGTTAATAATTTCTTTTATTATTTGGAAGAATTCAAAATTGTTTTATCCACCCAAAGCCAGATTGATATGTATCCTCACAAAATTAGAAGTAGGTTAAACCAAAATCTGTAAATTCTCTCATCGTCTTCTTTATCTTTGTCATGTTCTTCATCCTTTGCCCTATTCGTGATATTCTTTGGGTTAAATCAAAACAAAAGAAAATCTCTAAATTCTTCAAATTTATCTTGTATAGATTTGATTGAGATATTATAAATATTGGTCGATTATCTTTAATTTTTTCACCAAACGATTTGTCATATATTTCTATATCCCGAAGTTTGGCATCTCCGGAGATGAGAGTAGTTTTAACATGAATATCCTTGACTGCTATCTCATCAAACCATCTTTTAGACGCTCTCTATCTCTCCACTTTTTGATACGCATTGATGATTTAACAAGAAATCATCAGATATATTTGCTTATGTTTACTCAGAGAGAAGACAAAGCCAGAAGAATCCTTGAAAACTAACAAAATATTGTAGAGTGAACTATTTTGTCTTTGGTTCTATGGTGTTTTTTTAATAGTAATATTCTTAGATAAAACTGTAGTATTTTTATTTGTATTTTATTCTTAGTATTTATATTATTAGGAAAAATTGTGTTATTTTTTTAATTTAATTGTGTCAGTTATGTATTACTTATTGTTTATTTATAAGTTTTACTTGATTTAATATTCCCAAATATTAATATGTGTAAAGTTCAGAAAATTTAAAATGGATAAATTAAAAAACTCTGATATGCACAAATTCAAAAAATCAAACCTTTAAAATTTAAATTTGAGAAAAATTATGATCTGCCAAAATTAATATTAAAATAAATAAAAATCACAAAAATCCACGTGTTTTTATTTTAATTATTTAAATTATATTCATTACACTTTTATATAATAACATATGTTAAAATATTTTTAGTATTTATCTATTAATCATGAAAATATATGAAACATATTGTAGAGTGTGTTTTGTTGGTTAGTATTAACAAAACCAACAAAACACACTCTATTTCATATGTTAAAATATTTTAGTATTTATCTATTAATCATGAAAATATATGAATGGAGTGGCCAAAAATTGAATTTGTTTGATAAATTCATATATTTCACAAATCAATATATGTTAATAATTTATTATATAAAATAGATATTGGGTTAAATATAATATGTTTAAAAAAAATTAAAATATCACCAAAATTAATTGTATTTTACATAAATCTAATTATATGTTGTTCTACTCTGATAAACATTAACAAAAATGAATTATATTGTTTTGTAAAAATTATATTTAAAATAAATAAGAATATGACCAAAAATTTAAAAAAATATGTGTGCTGCCAAATTAATATGTGCGCCGTTTTTTGCTTTTGTATGCGCCGCCAAATTTACACTTAGTAATCCATAATTTTTTAGTTGTACCAATTTGCAAATAGTTGTACTTTTCGGTGTTTTCAAATTTATTTAGTTTTACTCTACAATAAATTTTCTATTTGTAGTTTTACAGATGATTTTAGTCATTATGTTATTGATTATAAGCTTTTTATGCATTAAAATGTTTTGAAACTCATCGTATGTGTCTTTGGCTTCATATGATGGTTAGTATTAAGAAAATGTTTATAGAAGTGTACGGTGTTTGTTGTGTAAATATCCTAATAACAAACAATCATACCATCAATTTAGGTTAACCAGTTAATACGCATCTTTAACCACTTAATAATTATTTATCTTACGAAGATTTATTTGTTTCATATTGAATTTTTGTTTTTCTAATAATTTTTAAAATCAAATAAAAACCCGACCTTTTAATACTATTAGTTGCACCAGTTATGCCTAGTATTCCAGCTCAAAAATCTGATTGGATTACATTTATTATTTATTATAAAAAATAGATATTGAGTTAAATATAATATGTTTTTTAAAAATTTAAAAAGATAATTCATAAAACTAATTATATGTTGTTCTACTGTGATAAACATTAACAAAAACAAATTATATTGTTTTGTATAAATTATGTTTAAAATAAATAAGAAAATATATATATTCACAATAAAAAACCAAAAAAATAAGTGTGCCGCCAAATTAATATGTGCGCCTTTTTCTGCTTTTGTGGGCGCCGCCAAAATTACACTTAGTTATCTGTAGTTTTTTAGTTGTACCAATTTGCAAATAGTTGTACTTTTCGGTGTTTTCAACTTTATTTAGTTTTACTCTACAATGAATTTTCTATTTGTGGTTTTACAGATGATTTTAGTTACTATGTTATTGATTCTGAGGTTTGTATGCATTAAATTGTTTTGAAACTCATCGTATGTGTCTTTTGCTTCATATGATGGTTAGTATTAAGAAATTGTTCATAGAAGTATATGGTGTTTGTTGTGTAAATGTCCTTATAACAAATAAGTATGCCATCAATTTAGGTTAACCAGTTAATACACGTTTTTAACCACTTAATGGTTATTTATCTATCGAAGATTTGTTTGTTTCATATTGAATGTTCGTTTTTCTAATAATTTTTTTAAATCAAATTAAAAGCTGACTCTTAAATACTATCAGCTGCACTAGTTATGCATAGTATTCCAAAGACACAATATAAACACAAACGAGTTACACGGTTTCACCAGCATCATTATTACCACTATACAAATCTGACAAAATCCCTCCTCTTCCTCTTCCCCTTTCTCTTCCTCTCCCTCTTCCTCGGTGTTCTCCAACTGATGGGAACCGATTTTATTGTATTTGCTTGGCTTCAATCACGATATTGCATAGACTTGTAATTATGAAAAATTTGTGTTTTCTGGAATTGGGTGATGTACTAATAAACTAAAATTCAATTTATAAGTGGAGAATTAGTGAAGGGTGCAATAAGGATAGTTAGAAGAGGGTGGTGAGACTAAAATTTGTTTTAAAATTAGTTACTTGTAGCACAGAGTCCTTCTCTGTTTTTGGAATTTGCCTCAAAACGTACAATATAGATGAGCTTAGAAATTTCTTCGACTAAATAGATAGTCTTTTTTTAAGAGGAAGGTTTATGTCCCGAACCTGTAATCACAATACAGAAAAGTGCTAGAGACTTCTTTAATACATAATACTAAAGAACCAAACCACAGCAAGTTCTCAGCTTTTCGTTTCTTAGAACATTCAAGTATCATTTGCAGAAAAAAATATTTAAGAAATTAGTTGGTTTTAGGGACATAGAGAATTTAGTTTTTTTTAGAAAATGAGCAATATCTTTTCATGGTTAAAATTTCAAAAAAAAGCCTTGTCTCTTTTCGTTTTGCTCATTTCGCAGTCACATGCTTAAGACCGGTAAGGAGTTATGGTGCAGTTGTAGAAAGAAGAGAAAGAGACGCAATAGCTTGGATGCTTTCTGTCTAGAAAGTGTATACAGGTAATGTTCCATGCCACTGCTTAATCATAAGTTTAAAATCATGTTTAGAAATCAATGATAAGGATATATAAGATAAAACTAAAAGAAACAAAACTTTTTCAACTTTGATCGGTTCCATTTAAAGATTAAAACTTCAGGAACAATCAAAATTCAAGAATTGGAGTTGTAGCTTCGTTTAATGGTTGGGTAGTCTGGGAAATAAGAGATTTACAGAAATTAGAGAATGACTTTTATTGTTATTTGTTAGATAATCAAAATTGAAACATTTAACAAATAGTTATAGTTTAATATGAAAACGCTTACTTTTCATTTCTGGTTTCAAAATCAAACTTCTTCTTTTGTTTGTTCTCCGCTCATGTGGCACTTCTTGAGTTTGTGATGTACGCAATATAGGATAAGGCCTTGGAGAGTCCTCTATGCTCTACATGAGAATCATAAATAATATTAGAAAAAGTTAAATATAGGATATTATTGATCATATGTGTAATCTAAGTACAGCATAATAAATTCATCTTTTCTTGATCTTACATTCAGATTTCAGGTTAAACTGGTTTTCAGAAGTGAAATACTGCATCCAGAAAGCAGGTTAGTTTGTTATTTCTTAAAATAGTATCATAAGGTTCTTGATCAGAATTGGAGATGCATATATATATATAGTTGACTTGATGGAAAACATAGTAAAATATATAAACTTACTTGTAT